CTATCTTGTTTCTTCATGAATGCCCTAGCATTTACTAGATAGGGTAGTCTGGTATATAAAAGAGGGTGACAACGTGACGGAATGTAATGTGTATGTAGATAGTGAGTAATTGAACTGCAGTCACAGGGTATTGTTGAAGTTAACGTTCGTTCGTTATAGTGTTTGTTTTAGCGCGAATATTGAAAATAAGTGTATCGTAAAGTTTTATTCGGAAAGAACAAACCAGTTTTATTAAGTACGGACTTGTGTCGCTAAAGTTTCGTAGGAACGAAGTTACGGAAAGTTAATTAACAAACGGAGACGTAACAATATTTTGATCATTTGGACTGCCTCTACATAATCTCAATATAAGAAAATAACCAAGAAGAGCTGTCAAACATAAACTTAGAACAACAAACATTTTGTAAAGACTGTATTCGTCTGTGTATGTGGGTAATATTGTATAAATATGCTTATTATTGTTGTCGACATGTGTCCAAGAAAGTTCAGTCCTCAAAGAATTATGAAAAAATGTAATTGTTGTTATTCTATAATAGTGGTTAAACATATTTATTATGTAGTAAAATGTAAGTTGTGATCTCATTCATATAACAAATAACAGCAGATCTGTTAAAGTCCTAAGGATAGTAAGATTGTCATTAAAATAATTGTTTTAACATAATTAATTCTAGACACTGATGACGTAATAAAATGTGGAAATATAGTGTCCACCCCTGTCAAACTCGTGTAAGATAAAACTCTAAAGTATCATGTGTAAAATGAAATATTTTCTCAAGGTATAGTGATATCATAAAGTCAAACTAGTGAAAGTGCAAGTTTTAATTCCTGCATGATATTTAAATAAGCATCCTTTCTCAGGACGATTTGCATATAAATGGTCAGGAAATGTAATTAAATATGGAACTAATGAATTACTGTTCTAAATCGATTGTATTAATTATAGCCATGTTGAGATACGTTGATAATTGATACATGTAGTGTGTGTCATTGTTTCTGACGTCATCGCCGCCCACTTCATGGACGTCATCGTCTTGGATGTCATGCTCTCCAGTTATTGCAGCTTAGCAACGCGTCCACAGCAACGTCTGTCTGGTGACCCTTTGTGTAAACATGACATCATCGTCTTTGGTGTCTTCATTGGGTGGCACCAATGACCTCTGGTGTTATTTTGTGAAACTATGATGTCATCATATCTACCCCTTCCCTCCCCATTGTCGACATGCATATGGCGCCCTCTAGCTGCGTGTCGCGCAGGTGCGGGAATAACTACTAATACTGATGAATAACTCAACCACAGAAGAGCCGAATGACAACCTATTTATTGGACTTTTCGGAATATACACAGCCCATCTTCAGCAAATTACTATAATAAACACAAAAGTTCTAATTACAATTAATCGCTCAAATGTTAAACAAAATCTTATGTATTATGGTAAACAGTTGTAGCCAGAGGGGCAGTATAAATGAAAGGGAGTAAAACTTGAAAATAATACAGACCCACATAAAACGAATTAGCAAATATATCAATATAGCTAGTGAGAACAAATTAATTAAAATAGACTTAACTCAACAGAAATTATTCAAGCTGTGGAGATTTTGTTTAAGAAGCAAATTTTTTTTAATGAATAGTTCCAAGTTTGTATGTCCTGTAGCTAAAACTTTAAAGTCAGTTGAGGAGATTTTGTGTCCGTTAGTGTGTGTGTGTATATATATACAGAAGAAGTGCAAGGAAATGATAAAGAGTGACCAGTTCTGTAGGAGATATCCATGTATTCATGGATGCATGAAGTTAAATGGCACTTGGTTTTGCCAATGAAGGTAGCATTGCAGCTACCAGACGTCGTAAATGATCCATGAACGAAGTACGGTAAGAATGCAGTCTTTCATATGGAAAAAAAAAAGTTTAATCTGATTAGTTACCTTAAAGACAACATTCAGTTGGACTTAAGTATCAGTTTGGTGAGTGGGTTTTTAAGAATTATATTCTGTTTACGTAAGTAAGAAAATAAAAAAATATACGGGTCTCGAATTTCAAATAAAAGCTTATGTATTACAGTTAACAGTTATAACTAATAGAAGGAGTGTAAATGCAAGTGAGTGAAACTTGAAAATAATATAGATCCATAATAAATGATTTAGTGAATTTATTTATTGGGTGTGTATATTATTTTTAAGTTTCACTCGCTTCATTTACACTCTCCTCTCTAGTTATAACTGTTTATCGGAATAAGTAAGCTTTTGCTTAACATTCGAATGATTGATTGTAATTATGTTTTTTTTTGTGTTTATTGTAGCGATCTGCTGAAGATCTGAAGATACAATGTATATATTCCGAAACATCCAATAAATATGTTGTTACCTGTCACTTCTGTAGTTGTGTTGTTCGTTATCAAACTACGTTTCCCCCGTCATGAATCTCTTGCATGCAGCCCACAAAACGTCGGTTCATACTGAATTTTGATTGTATACTAACGTATCCAAAAAATAGAACCTTGAATCATATCTGTGTTCTGATTTAATTCTTTTGGACTTTCAATGACTAAGAAATTCACTTACCTGTTATTGTGAACTGAAAAATAACAAATTCTCATTTGTGCACTGCTTACAGGAAAGTGGTTGACGACATCAAAGCTTATTCTATTGAAATTAGTATGAAATATGCAATTCCGCATTAAAGTAGAAACCTAAAAACTGCCGTTGACACTAAATTTATTACATGTATAATCGTAAAAAAAGAAATATCAAAATTCTGACCAATTATAAATGCCATATTAAGAATGAAAATGTTGTTTAAACGGCTTTAGATAACCTTAAGCATCTTGTCTGTCATAAACAATATACATATATTAATGTATAGTAAAAATAAAGCTGTATATTCCAGGATGATAGTAAAATGCTTCCGAAGCTGTGATTTGGCACAATACGTATAGTGCAAGTTATATGAACTAATTAAGAATGATCCATTGTGGTGTGTAGGTATGATATTTGCAGCGAAAGTGTCAACTCTGTGAATTTTTTATCACATAGCGTCAGTTGGATATTTAGTATGTGGCTTGTATTGTCATTGTCGGCAAGGGCGGTGTTGCTTCTATTTTATGGTATCAGGTTTTCATCATTACTAATATATATTCTTGCCCTTTCCAACGCCAGAAGTAGCATGTGTCTGATGTAAATGATCAGGAACTGGATTTTTCAGTTGATAGTGTAAAGGTCATGTAATATATTCTACTTACCTGTAATTTCAGGACTACGTCAAGGAGTTGATGGTCTCGTGTACAATGAGCTCAGGAAACCGCACGAACTATTATATTTACCTTGTCTATTATGTCTGAGTCCAGGAGTTGTAGGTAATACGTCATTCACATTGTTTGTGCTTGTCATCTCCAAGCAATTCACGTGTGACTGGGGCATGGCGTCAGTTGTTGAAAAGGGCTCTTGTAAATCTTCCCTATTTTCAAAGAACATATACTTCACGGCTAGAGCAGAAGCTAGAACAAGCATAACTAGCTGTTCAGAGCTAACAGGAAACCAGCTGTAGACGAAAATATTCATTGAAGAGAAAATCTTATTAAAACAAAATCAGTAGCATATCAAATGTTTCAGTTAGTACCAATGGTCTGTTTTACAGTGTGATCTGAAGAGATACATAGCGGAATTATGCAGGAATATGTTTAAACATTACTTTTAATTGTGGGATTACTGGTGGCAGTAATTTATGTGGTACTGATAACGACCATCGCGTTTAAAAACTATAGCATATAATAAAGTAATCACTTTTAGGAAACTTTAATTTAATAAGTTTAAATATCTTAATGAAGGTACAGCTCGTCATTAAGACTTAGCTTGGATCTTCCCATAATTAATCAATCTAAAATTGATTTGTAACTATAACAGTTACCTCTGTACATATATTTATGAATTTCATAAATTCCACATAGTACTTAAATACAGAATATAAAATGAAAATATTCAGATCAGTTAAAAAACCCTTTAACGTAACTTACTGAAAACCAGGGAGATATTATTAGCATGATTATACTAAATACCTGTTGTACACAATAACTGGTCAAACTGAATATTAGAAAAATTTGGCAAAGGTAATTAGCATGCCTCACATGATATAAAAAGGTCTTGATAATAGATTTACAGACACACAAATAGATAGATAGATCGTTCTTTGTACGTATTTGTAAATATTTCCATCATTGTTCTGCTTTGTTAGATAGATAGATCTGTGTATATGTTTATAAATAATTTTATCGTTACTCTGCTTTGTTAGATAAATAGATAGATCTGTGTCTATGTTTATAAATAATTTTATCGTTACTCTGCTTGGTGAGATAAATAGATAGATCTGTGTATATGCATATGAATATTTTATCGTTGATTTACTTGGTTAGATAAATAGATAGATCTGTGTACATGTTTATCAATATTTTATCGTTGATTTACTTGGCGATATAAATAGATAGATCTGTGTACATGTATATGAATATTTTATCGTTGATTTACTTGGTTAGATAAATAGATAGATCTGTGTATATGTTTAGAAATAATTTTATCGTTACTCTGCTTGGTGAGATAAATAGATAAATCTGTGTACATGTTTATCAATATTTTATCGTTGATTTACTTGGTTAGATAAATAGATAGATCTGTGTATATGTTTATAAATACTTTTTTTGTTACTCTGCTTGGCGAGATAGATAGATCTGTGTACATGTTTATCAATATTTTATCGTTGATTTACTTGGTTAGATAAATAGATAGATCTGTGTATATGCTTATAAATAATTTTATCGTTACTCTGCTTGGGGAGATAAATAGATAGATCTGTGTATATGTTTATCAATATTTCCGTCGTTGCTCTGCCTGGTCAGATAATTTTTATTCTTTGCTATTTCTTTCATATAGTGTGAACTCTAATTTTTTTGAAACTTACTATTTATTTACAATAATTTTCCATACCTATTTGTAAAAATTAATTAGCTTAACATCTGTTTTTCTAATGAGTCTCCTGGTATCACCTTTATTTTACTTAAACACTTAAGTAAAGTTTTATTTTAATATTTCCAAAGCAAAATATCCCTAACATCTTTTTACACAGCGCCCTCGTCGCCAGCCACATTGTACCGGAAATGAGGCACACAACAGTACATGGAAAAGTATATTAAACATATCTTGGAAGAGCAGATGACCTTCATGGCGTCACTCAACTCCTTTTATATATCACTCATATATTACACCACTATTCCCAGTTTGCCCCTGAAGAAGAAAGGTCCACCTTTCGAAAACGTTCGGATTATAGATTTTTTTTATAATTTGTAATCAAAACTTCTTGAACTTACGTGTTTTTCTGACATCATGAATGGTTAGATAGGTAGACAGATACATCTGTTTACACATTTATAAATATTTTTATCGTTGATCTGCCTGGTTAGATAGATATATTTGTGTACATGTTTATAAATATTTCTATCGTTGATCTGCTTAGTTAAATACACAGCTATATCCGCGTACATGTTCATAAGTGTTTCCATCGTTGGTATGCGTGGTTAAATAAACAGATAGATCTGTGTATGTATTTATAAATATTTACATCGTTACTCTGATCTTTTGGCTATATAGATCTGTATACATGTTTATAAATATTTTTGTTACTCTGCTTGGTTAAATTGATAGATAGGTTTCTGTACATGTTTATAAATATTTCCAACGTTGTTCTACTTGGTTAGATAGATATGTGTACATGTTTATAAATATTTCTATAGTTGTTGTGCTTGGTTTTGAACTCACAATGTATATCCTAAGGCGCTGTTTTAGTTTCAATGCATAGTATTAAAAATGTATTAATTAATCACATTCGCTTAAAAAAATGTACCATGTATGTTTATAAATACTTAGAAGAGATGAGCCATTTGGTCATGAAATAACGTTAGACGTAACAATATGTTATATATATGTTGCATATACTAGAGTATTTCCCATAGTGCATTTACATAAAGTATTTCATAATGAAATTTAAACTCTAAGCCCATTGAAAAATTAAGTTCTCTTTATTTGTAAAGATCCAGTTTGAGGTAAAAAAATCAAATTAACTTTACTTGGACTAATAAATAAAACCTACATGAACTGAATTCAAACAGAGTTCAATGCAAAGCAGGATCTAATAAGTTATAAGTGAATACTATATTCACATTAAAACAAATATTTTAAATCTTGTGCATTAGCTCCAAAACTGTAATTTACGAAGAAAAGTAGAATTCACCTATAAAATAACTTCTCAAAAGTGGAGTTATTATCTAGCAGACTACGGTCAGAAAGCCAACGGTAATTTTTTCTATCATGTTGTCCTACACCAGGCTCTTTTACTACCATTTCGGGCCAGTAACTGCCAAAGTGAACCAGAAGAAGACCAGCTGACTGAAGAATATAGATAAAAAATATAGAATATAACTATTCCTGGTTCCAATAGCGACATGGAAAATAAAATGATTTTTTATGTATTCACATTCAAAAAACAGTATGATCTAAATATATGATTATTATTTCTTTTAAACTTTTTACTACAACAACAAACATGAGTGTTTAGCTTAGATTTTTCAGTCAAATAACAAGATAATTTATTTGTAAGTTTATGAGTACAAAAATGGCAAATTCGATTGTGAATTTTTTTTCGTAAAACAAACATTTCAAGTCGAAATGGTATATTTAAGGGTTTTACACCCACAAAAGAGAAACCTATCATTCTATAGGTATTTGAAGAACTTTTAACATTCCGCCACAGTTTAATTCTTCACCA